TGAAGCTTAGCATGAGAATCAGTCTCTCGAGGCTGTCAATAAACGCTACATGTTTGAAGAAAATTGATGACTGTGGTACCTATTGTTGTTGGGATCTGACGCTGAACGCGAGCATTACGATAAACTCTCACGATTGTTTTAAGAACACCGGTACTCGCGTTTGCGAGGTAAACGCTTGTCATTAAAGCGTGTCCATATCCCGCATGAACGTCTAACGTGAACGCATATATCAATGCTATTATGTCTTTTTTCCACCGATGCAACCAGTTTCGAATCCACAACATTGGACCTAGGTCTATTTGAGAAAGGTAATGGTACCGAAGATAACGATTTCTTCTTCGGAGAGTATCAGAGCAGTGAAATGCTAACAAAACGAAACTCTAAAGCGCAAACTCTCCCGACCAAAGTCTTATTAACGACTCCCCTTTCGTGTTCCCAGTACCCTATAAAATTTTATTTTCAATTCCCGCCGAACAAAGCTATATCGTGATTTATCACTTAACCTAATAACTTGCGTACCCTCGATTCATTCCGAACCCGAGTTCCCGTCGAGGTACCCACGCGAAGCCATCGAGCCGTGAAACCGGCACACGATTTTTCTCGACGACTTCATCGCGGCGGCTGGCCAAAGGACGGGGCTGCCCCGCGGACTCGCATAGCGCCAAGTTCCTCGCGCACCGCGTAAATTCGTCGTCATCCATCGTGCAGCCGTGGCCAGACTCGATGCTCGCCCGTAGATTAATAACGCGATAAATTCAACGCTTACCCAGGTGGGCGTGCGAGCCGCGTAGGAACAGGTAGACAGAGCTATGCGCCGCGCCGCAACGCGTTTCACCGCTGCTCCTCCTTTATTCGCAGCCGCCCGATAGACACCCAGATCATTAACCAATACCCAATTAACTTTGCGTGAGTTTCCTTCGATACGCGTCGCACCCACTTGGAGTCTTGTTTGCTTCTCCGCTGTGTGCCGAGGCTCTCTCTTGGTCTCGTTGCGCCTAGTTTAATATTCATTTGTACATTCGCAGACGGGAGAGTCTCTCTAGTAATTTCTTATTTATTTTCAATCCTCCTTTGGAAGATTAATCATCTCGAACTGTAACGTAATTAATTTGCACGGAAGACAGTTGAGTGGGCTCGATAGGCAGTTTATTTCCAATCACCTGGTTTGAGTCACCTTTCTCGGGAACGTTGACCGGCATGATCGCAAAAAGGGGGTATCAAATTGCTAACCTCGGGAGCCTAACGAGAATCGCTAGGGCTATAAACCTGGTGTACAATGCTTCAAAACACAAATTATTGTCCACGAGAGAAAGTGTCTGCCTCTGGTAACCAGATGCCTCGAGACATAAACCTTTCTTGCAGCAGGAAGTTGTTCATATTCGTTCAGAAGCAGTGCCAATAGTTAAAGTTACCGAACTCCTCTGCGGTTATACCTAAAAAGTCGTGTTTCCTTTGCAAACTGTGTCGCTTTGCAGATACGTATTCCATACTTCGGGCCGCGTTCCTCGCTCGGGTGAAAAAGAGAGTTCCGCAGGCGGACACTCGTAAAAGTACCGTTTCCTTTTAAGTCCCAACGCATCTGCAGGGCTCGGTCGTAAAAAAGCCAGTGTCTCCGACGGATCTAGATCCGTATGCACCTTTCTTCCGGGGCGCTCGCAATTAGCGAAGAAGATTCTCGAATATGAATTCTTTAAATGCTCGATTTGAAATTGTTGCGTCGCTAATGACTCGGTAGATGAACTTCGTTTGCATATAAAGACACCATGAATCGATCTCGAGGACAGCGAATAACAAGAAGCAAAGTAAACGGTCTTGGAGTGAAAAGGCTTAATTCTCGCTCCTAATAGCCGACGCATTATGTCAACCGTTCCCTGGACAACCGTTTATTACGGGGTTGCGCCGCGATAAAAGACGCATTTTGCATAATGCAAGATAATCAAGTGGGACGGGTTCGGGACAGGTGTGCAGGCGTCCCACCAGACGCTGCCATCATCCTTCGTCGTTCTACAGAGTCGACGTGTAAATTAATAATCTATTAGGACATCCTCTCCTCCTTCCCGTGCGCTTCATCTTCACTTCTTTCGCCTTCTTCCTTTTCGTCTCTTTTCTCGGTTTATCGTCTCCTTGAACGTCGCTCTACTTTTTACATTCGGCGCCTCTTCCGTCCTGAATTTTGGTTGCCGTGAAATTACTCACGCTCTCGTGGTCTCAGAGTTACACAACAATTAATCGAACGACGAAATTTGTAGTAGAAAACAATCCTTTGGTTAAAAGCAAAAGAAAGGAAACCAGACTGGTAGAGATGGCGAGGCTTCCCTCGCAGGCTCTCTCTAATGATCCCCTCTGGGGCCAGGTCATTTGCAAATTTGTCCGTGACGACTTGCAAATTTAGCTGTTACGAATTTTAGTGTTTGCCAGGTGGCCGTGATCGTAAACACACCAGCAAGGCTCTCCTCGCTGTATTCAATCGCGCGCCTTCGGAGCCGATTTAATCTCACGGCTGGCATTAACCCTCCCGAGTGGCAGGATCGATTAGATTGGATCGACGCCCGGGAGATTTACGTAAATCATCGGGCCCGATCCGATCGATCTTACCTGGGCGTAATTTATCGCGCGACCAGCTGGTCCCCTTGATTTGTCGCTCGTGGACACTCGCTTCGTTGCTTCGTCCTCTTTCCTGGCCGAGTTTCGCTCGAGGTGAAGCGCGAATAACGACAGTGACAAATCATCGTTGACTCTTCGCGGGTATATCGATCCTTGATTTCGAGATACACTCGTTATTCGAGAAATCAATGTGCATGTCTCAGATATCGATGCATTTTTTGGTAGACGTCCGTTTGAATGATGAGAGAAAATTCTGAGGATTGTTTCTTACCTACTTCGTAGTATAAGATGGCAGAGCATCGTACCTTTTTTAAAATTTATGCGGAATGCTCCATTTCTTTTCGATACTTTGTTAGCTGAAAGCAGATTCAACGATGTGTTATAATGAGAGCGCTGATTATAATGTGCCACCTTAAGAAGATTGCGTGTTAGGCGTTGTTACAACCGCCACTTATCCTGCAACACCCAGTATGTAATAGTATATAATGGATAAAGTGTAGAGAACCGTGATATTAATTAGAAAGTTATAAATTTCCGACGCGAAGTTAAAAATGTGATCATAACTGTGTTTAATATCAACGATACTACCGTGGAAAAATAAAGAAGGCTATACAACTTTGGCAGAATACAATCAAGGTTCGCACACGATAGTCCAATCGCATCGATTTCTGTGCAATCGCGAAACGTGTTCCCAGACAGGAACACAAATTAGGCCAAGTTTTATCGCCGGAGGAACCACGTAAACTGCGTCGCGAGTGAAAAAGTGCGCAGTAAAGCAGAGTGGAAAAAGGAACAAAAGACTTTTTCGAAGCTCTCCGGTCAAGATAGACGACTAATCGAGCTTCCAAATGGCCGATTCGCTTCGCCTATATGTCATGAGGCGAGAGAGCGCGCTCGCTTGCAAAAAGTACGATGCGGCAGGTAACACGCAAGAGAGAGGTGGAGATCGTGTGGGATCGTTTCACGGTGCCCTTGAATGAAACGCCGCCGTGGGGTTATTCGATTTAACCCCGTCGGTTAAATGCAGATCTCGAGCGGCCGTGGACGACATCCTCCGGGATGGCGTTTATGTAAGACGATCCATCCGTGATCACGACTTCTAGATCCCGGATGCCAGCCTCTTTCTGTGTCGCGTTCGCGATACCTGCTTGCTTTCGCAATCGATCATCGCTCCAGTAATTAGTCCGAGTTTTAATTTTCCATTCGAGTCACCTTTCGAGTTGAAAGATGTGCTGATATTTGGAATTTTCCTTCCCCGAGTACGCCCAACTTTGAAAAGTTAGCGTTCGAGTGATTCATTAATCGTAATAGGAGCTAGAATTGTATGTGAAAGCTTTAATTAATAATAGAGAACAAGTTAGTCCATAAAGTGCTATGGACTCCATATACAGGTTGAGGTAATGCTAAGTAACATGATGTATGCGCATATGACCTATAGCAAACCCAATGCAGCATCTAATTTCGCAGAGGTTGCCATGTAGAGCCTAATCGAAGAGTCCGCTGGCATACTCTGAATGAAACGTGCAGAAATCCCTCTCCCGTCGTTCGCTTCCTCATTCCCAACGCGTTAAACATTGCCACGACTGCTCCAATTGGAAACGTTCGAGTCCAAGAAATTTCTATGGAGCCATTCTGCCACAGCGGAGTTCATTTTCGTAAGAAAAAATGTTTGAACGGTCGAAATATAGCGAGTTTGACATGGCGACAGTTTCTAAGCAGCGTCTCGGAACAAGTGCGCGGCGTGCACACCGTGGCAGACAGGAGCCGGGTAATCGATTCGTAGCGATCGACTTTCAACGTTTATCGGGGCAGTCGATCGTGGCAGGGCCCCGCGGTCGCGGATCTATCCGGCCGTTGAAACGATTTGCTTCGATGGGGACACGGAATGATCCGATCGAGATCGAGCCTAATCGTCGGAGAACGCTCGCGCGGCCTCTTAATGAGCCGTCCCCTGGAAATGTCACTGACGCCGCGGTGAAAGCTGAAATTCCAATTCTTCCGGGGACATGTCGCAACGGACACGTGCCACCCACCAGATGTCGAGAGATGCACTGCGGCGAAATAAAATCGATCCTAACGTGTGATAGTATCACAGGTACACCATAATCATCTCGTAATCCTCGCCAGTCTCCAAGAAGACGAGAAAGCAACTATAAAGGGTTTTACTATCGGACACTGTGGGTCTTTATTGTTTCATAAACCGTATCCTCGGGTTATCGTTGCTCCTGATGTCTCCGATAAACGATCACCCGATAAATAATTCGTAATCGGTTTATTTCATAATATGGCGTCGCCGCGCGAGCCGCTCGAGCCTCGTTCCCGCGGAATGACTCACGCCTGGTAATCTCTAAGCGGGTTGTAACGCACTCGCAACAACAATATTTCAGTCGGCGTTAAACCGGCGAGGTGACACCGATTATTAGATACGGCCGTGAGCGGCTTGCGTCGCGCCTACAAGAGTCGTTCCAGCTGACTTATCCGTGGATTGCCGCGAGAATAAAGACACCTCGTGGCGTCTTCGGTTCGTGGATTCCTGGCTCGACAATCCCTAGACTCAGGGAAATCTTGGATCAACCGAGAGGATTCTTCCGAGCTGGGGAATTATTGGCGATTCGAGGCCTTTATCGGTAAGCGTTAATATCAGCTATGACACAGCACGTTGTATACGTGAATGCATTTACTATTTTTGTCATTAAACGCAAACGTCGGCGTCGCGTCGTTCGCCGTTGGCGAACGTTTTCTAATTAGCATTCTATGCGTCGCGCGAGTGAAAATTCCGTGCAACTATTCCACTACGTCTCTCGTAAATGCAAATGGTTCTGCGAAGCACGTACATAGCTGGATCAAGAATGAAAAATGAATGTTGTTGTCGCGATGTTAATCACCGAGCGTCAAACGAATCCACTTCCCGGAATTTCCACGGCTTATTAGGAACGAGTCGTATCGTCTTAAAAAATGACAATTTATCGTGACTCTGGAGGCACGATAGGAATTAAAATCTTCTTCGCCTTGTAACAGTTTTCACAAAATTAATCTGTCGTGAAAGAAAGGATACCGAAAGCTAAAATACGCAATTACTTAATTGAAAACACCGATAAGTATGGAGATAAAACATCTCTATGAAAATTCATAATTTCCATGTTTAAAGATCAACTGCAACTATCGGTATTCTGCTCTAGCTCGATAGAAATAATTCCATTAATTAAGAAATGTAACGAAGTCCCGCAGTCCCGTTGGAACGGAATAAAATAATCATCGAATACGCTCGGGCACGCAGAATCGTTGGATATATTTCCATTTAGTCTCTCGATTTCCTTGAAACGAGCGATTCCGACATCTCGGAATCTCGCTCGGCGATCGACGCTCGTTCCGGGCAACGAAAATAAGAAAATCCACGCGGAGCTCTCACGATGCAAGGCGGAACGATCGTACGCGACCGAGCGTTCACGATTTTACGCCCGCGAGAGATCGCTGCCACGATGGCAATTAGCCGATAGCTCGGGACGCTCGACGAGAAGGCGGAGAGGATGATCAATGATAATGATTCCACCGAACGTGATCGACACGCTCGGTGGATCGGCCACGTGTGCCGGCGCGGAGACGTCGATCGTACTCGCCGCGTTCTCTCCGTTTCGATTCCGTTCCCGCCTGCTCGATCGCGGATCATTTTGACCTCGTCCCGATCGATAAACACGAATTCCACGAGCCCTAATCCCCGACGTTCGACCGATTTGCATCTCGATGAACCGTATCGAACGTCTCCGCTGATGGTCGCGGAGCACGCGGACTGCTGGGATCGATCGTTGATCCCCTCGCACTTTTCTTTCTCCCTTTTCCACTTACGCTTCAACATCGGTTGCTTCGTCTCTATTTATCGAAATAAAATTTCAGTTAACAAGATCGACCACCCCTGTTTAACGTTGTAGAAATGTTCACGAGTTTTAGCTCGACAGCCAACGTATTAAAAGAAATAAAAGTCCAAATTTGTAGATATCACGTTGATCGAATGCAACAGTTTCGTTTATGCCTGTTCGCGCTGTGTCAAAAGTTCGCGCAGTGTACTTACGAAATAACTCGATACAATCGGTTCCGTTTAATTCTAAATAAAGTTCTCACGTTTACTCCCACGTTTGCGTTCGTTTTAATCGTTCGCTCTTCGAATCGCGGCGATCATGGTATTTCGAGCGAACCGAATGAATTTTCGCGATCCTTCGTCGGGCGTGTCCATCGTATCGGACACGATCTCGCGTAAAAATCGATGGTTGATTATTTACCAGTGGTGCACAAAGTGCCGTGGAATAAAATAAGGAGGATTTATAAAAAAAATTGTGCAAGAAGTACAAATAATTTATCAATTATACTTCGAAACTTTGATACTTCAACGAGTATCCTCGTACTTGCAATCTCTTAAAAAAATGAAAGTTTCTCAAAATGAAAAGAAAAGTTACTACAAAAAAAATTTAAACGATTAGCTCTTTAATATCATCGTACTCCAGCAAGGAAAAAGATTGCGCATCACTGTTTTCGAGGCATTTGGTTCCTGAAGCCGTGGATTATTTCAATCGACGCGCGTTATCGCGGCCCGTAATCGAGTAATCGAGAGTCCGCGCGCTTTGAATGCGCCATTGTGCGCGCGCTGCGCGGCGAAAAAAAAACGCGGACACCGTGCCGTTACGTGAAGCGAAGTCGTGGCTATTAACTCTCGACGAAATTGAACGAGATCCGATCTCGCACTCCCACGCGGGATACGCGCCGCGGAAATATCAGCAAGCGAAGAATATAATCTCCGTGGCTCGAGCCGCCACGGTTATCACAGGAACCGGCGAAAAATGTCGCTCGTAAATATCTGAGTGCATTACCCGTTTCACAATAGAGGGAGCGATCTATCGGCGCAGGATAACGTAAATCCGAAAGGGATCGAACCGATTATCTCGCGGAACCACGTCGATAGACCGTTTTAAGTGCACCTTTCCTCTTCCCATTCCTCCTGCAATTACTTCTCTTTTCAAACAGGAAACATTTCAGACTCTTCTACTATATATAAATACGACGCTGAACGCCACGTCAGCCACAAGTAGGTGACAGTGCTTTTCACTGAAGAATTAAACAAATTAAATCTGAAAGTTAATTATCAAAGAAAATGAATTGTATTCAAGGGAACTAGTCTGGCAGCCAATGTGATACACGGCAATCTTTTTAATACGAAACATTTGCAATTCGTCGAAGAAAGTCTATTTTCTCGTCGATATTCTTCAGCAATGGAGGAAATGGCTCGAACACAGTTTCCGAGAGGACGAAAATCGCGACCGGGGCCAAAGATTTCTCACGCCGAAAGGTTTGATCGTGTCCACGTCCACCTGCGCGCAGTCCCATACAGAACGGGGCCCGACACTCTGGACATAAAATCATCTTACGCAACGGCGACATGCCCGAGAGAACCTTTCCAGTCCAGCGTAGCTGCATTACGTGCAAGTCCTGGCTGAATCGGGCACAGAGAATCGGCATCCGCGTCGCCGGCTACTCGCGACAAGTGCTCGTACCACTCACCGAGTGAGTCACTTCGCCGTGCTTATAGATAAGCGAGCTTGAGGAAGGCGGTCAGGCCCAGAAGTTGAGGAAGGGGCAGCACGAACGACCAAGAGGCAGAAAGAGAATGCACGGAAGATCCTAGGACTAGCGAGAAAGAGACAGTCTTTCGTCTAGCGCATCTGGACTCGTCCGGGGGCCCCTTTCTTTTCCACGCTGTTTTAAGAGCTCACCGTCTGCGGAGCATCGAACTTCCGTCATCGAAGATCGTATTTATCTATTTATCCCTGTGCGTTAATCTCGATGATCCCTCGCACCTTTCAACGCATCGACAGTTGCGAATAGGCATCGCCTACAACGCCATCCGTGCGTGACGGTCGGGCCAATATTATTGCGTGGCGACCTAGATAAACAAGGAGGAACCACGCTTGGATCGAACAGCAAAGGAGAGGAAAATTGCGGAGAAGGGGGAAGTAGTTACCGTACCGAAGTGTACCGAAGTGAACCGAAGTAAAATAAGCAGGGGTATAAGAGAATAAACGAGAAGGTAGACTCAGAAGAAGAAAAACACGAGCAGCAAAGAGCAAAGAGAGCTGTAGAAGTAGAAACGAGAAGGCGCGCGATTAATCTACCCCGAGGGCCGAGATCCCAGGATCCCGGGAGCGCATAAACAATAGCGAGCGGGTTACAATGAGATTCAAATTGCCCGCGCATCGGCTCGCGTTAATCTGAATTAAATAACGCGCTGGATGATTGCGTGCAAACGCGAAACGACGAGGCGAAGCCGGGAAAGAGGATAGAATGATGCCAGAGGGGGAGGGGTGGGGGGGGGGAGTAAACAGAGAGCTGGTGGCAGGGTGGAGACGGGAAACAAGACGAGAGAGAAGGAAAGAGGAAGCGCGAGGATCAAGACAGAACTTTGTACAGCGGAACGTGATGCAGACCTCAGGCTCTAGGCTAGGACGTTGGGTAGCTGAGTATAATATCGGATCGACCAGGTCTTCGAAATCTGCCAGATCCAACGATCCTTTGATTTCCAAATGCTGAGTAACGTTTCACGTCCAACACCTACGACGCACCGAGGGACAAACAAAGTGCGAGAAGGAGCAGGGTGAAGCTGTTCACCGTAAGAAGAGAACGAAGAAGAGGGAGAGTGCGCGAGTCGAGGGCTGTTGCGTACGGTCGCAGGTAGATAGGTGATACATTGGCAGCAGCACGGCGGTGCGGTGCAGCAGCGTGCAGCAAAGTGCATTCGGTGCATTGCCGTGCAAAAGATAGCAGAGGCAACGAGGCGAGAGCGACACAGTGCGGCGAGGAGAAGGCCAAGAGAGGCGAGCAGTCAGCCAGTCAGGCAGGCGTGCCCGATGGTTACGGCAATCACCGCACATGCTCCCAAGCTCCTGACCACGAAGAACACAAACGAAACCTTGCGTTCGACTGCTGTCCATTTATTGTATCCGCCAAAGAAAACCTCCTACGGCTCTGTGTCTCTGCCGATTCAGCGACGAGCGATCGTTAATTGTCTCCGAGTAATGGGCTGACTTGTCTTCTCGATCGTTTCGTTCTTCTGGATGCTTTGATGGATGATTTCGGGTACTTTTCGAGTGGTGTAAGACTGCTCCAGAAGCATGGATATTAAGCTTCAGCGGTTGCACGGTATACCACTCGACGTACGCATGTTCGCAAGCGCCTAAGAATGAGCGATAAATCCCATTTGCGTTCAATTCGCAGACAACGGGACACTAAAGAACGTGTTGCGCGCAACTGTTGCTATCCCAAGCTAACGATCAGGTATCATTGCAAGATCGTTAACTACTTCGAATCCTAGTTAGGTAGAAGAAAGCGATCGACTGACTATTCCAAGTCGATAACGGTTAAAGATTAGACGCAGCATACTCGACCGCTGCGTGCAGCATTATTTCATTCTAAAATACAACTGCTAAACGGAACGCTTTGTTTTCCGCTTTGATTTCCTCTTATGCGAGTCTAATCAATCCTGCTACCTGTGAGTTGCCTCGTACCTGTTCGTCATTCACTCTCATCCTGCAACACTATCGCACTTTATGCTCACCTATGGCTCAATATCAACCACACCGTGCTC